GAGGCAGTGAAGGACAGGAAGGCCTGGCGCAATATGGTTCATGGGGTCACGAAGAGTCGGACACGACTTAACGACTAAACAACAACAACAACAGTTTTTAATAATGGTTTTAGTGCGGTTTGTATGTTTTTTATTTGCATTTGTTTATTGTTTTTTAATTGTTGTAAGCTGCCCAGAGTCATATATGTGAGATGGGCGGCTATACAAATTGAATGAATGATTATGTAACTAAGTAAGTAATGAGGGTGGTGGAGGAAAGAGTGAACAAATGTATTTGTTAAATACACTTTTAAGACCAAGGGTTGGGCATTTATTGGTGTTCAAATGGACTATATTAAAAGCCCAAGTGATTCTTTGAGGATTCTAGGAACCAATCAATAAGTCTAGTAGATGATCCCAAACTCTAGGAGGAAAAATTCCAGAAATTGTCTGAGCAATAAGGAATTATTTTGAGATTTTTTTAAAAAAGTAGAAGTTGTTTACTCAAGTTGTTAGGAAGGATTTTGTCACAATCTCAAATTCTATGCCTGGGTAGCTTCTGCCCATCAAAGTTTACAGAGCCACTGGTCTTCGGTAGAGATTAAAAAGATTTCTATGATAAATCCTGATGGGAGTGTGGTTATTCCATTGCAATGTAGACCCTGCTAAGTATAGACCCGTTAACTTCTTTAATATGATTAGAAAGGCACACATAATGGAAATGGAAGGATTGGACTGAACAGGAGACTGGCATTTTAAAAATGAAACAAAATCTGGTAATTTTTCCTACAGATTAGTAATGAAAAAAATTGGAAGTAAAACATATTAGATCACTGGAAGTAGGCAGCTAAATGAAACTGATCTACTCTAGTCCATTCATTCCTAATCTTTTAAATATTATGTTGAAGTTTTTGTTTGCTCTGTGTGAACAACTATGCAAATCCAGGATTTTGATAAATGTAAATGCTGTTTAATAGTTAGGTTATATGTGTGGCTTTTGAAATTCCCCATAAAAAGCAGGGTTTTTCCCCTCTATTGTCTGAAAAATTGACAGATCTGTACCTTCAAGGGGGAGCAGAATGTCTGAAAAATGCTATGCCAACTGGATGGATAACAGAAATTACAATAGCAAACAAGGGAGCTTTGTCTCTTGTTAAGAACAATGGGAAACAAGATGGATGAAAAGAAAGAGTAAATTAAGAACAAACAGAACTGTAAATAAAAGAAATCAAAATAGGCTATTAGATAATAATGATGGATGAAATAATGTTTATTTTTGTATGCCCCTAATATCAAAAACCAAAGAGACAAGTAGGTAAAAGAAATTGAAACCCTACAATGAAGGCAGAGAGAAATAAGGAAAAGAGAAGAAAATGAAGATCAGGAAGGAGGTGGGTAAAAAATCTTAACAGGAACAACAAATAGAAAAGTATGTTCCTAGCTAGCAGGGAAGTCAGAATATGAAATGGGCTATGGAACTGAGTAAGTGGGTAAGGAGTGAAGCTGAAGATTGAAGAGGTCAACAAGAAAATGCAAGCAGAGAAACTCATAGGACAGATACAGATGAAGCTGTGAGCTACTGCTAAACAGGGAATGGATGGGGGAAAAAAAAAGACTCATGAAGTGGAAAGGCAAGAAGACTTAACTCTGCCATGCCAAGCGAGAACTGGCATTCCTGTCTTCTGACAAACGAAGATACCCTTACTAGGTCCAATAGGCATGATATAAACCAGGCATCCTTTTTTCAGGGCTCTAAACTTATGGAAGAGCTGCCCTAGGGGCCCCACGTCTTTAATTTATTCTGTTGCAATGTAAAAATCAAATTCAATATCTGAGGCAAAATGCTATTGTAGCAAGAACACTGATGCGTCCTTTGAGGATTAATGCATGCTGAACTATTAAAACCAAGAAAAAGGTCTTAAAGACATTTTTGTAATAAACCATGTACTCTGTTAATTTACTCTTCTACTGAGCAAGACAGAGCCACACAGATATGAAAAACTGTTTTCCCCTGAACAGGAATTTCATTAGAAGTTCTTCTTTCCCTAGTGGAGAAATATTTTAAAGTCATTTATTGCCCCCTTCCCCCACAATTCACAAGAGAGTTAACAACATTCCAGCATACCTCAATGTTGGCAAGTGGAGTTTTAGTCTAGCTACCTGATGATGATTGATGAAGCCGTCAGCCATACAGTAGTGGATAGAACAGCTTGGCAGAGGTTCCGTGTTATTGAAAGAAATCACAAATACTTATTCCATCTCCTCTGTGCACTTTAATCACATTGTCAACAGACTGTCAGGATGGAGTCTTGACACTAAGCCATACATTCATACAGGCAACCTATTGTTGGTTTATTGCAACCGCAACACAGATAATGGGCAATTTTGTTTTACATATTTCTATTTTACACACTGCTTGTTAAAATAACACTTGATTTCCCTGCCCATTGCCTAACGTGCTTCAACTTTCATCCTCTTATTGCTTTTTTTTTTTTTACAAGTTAAATGACAAAGAACTAAATCATGAACTTTGCCTACAGTGTGCAAATATTTGATACAGATTAAATCATGGAGTTCACTCACAAGAGTTAATTATGCTCCAGAATACCATTTATTTGTAAAACAGAATTTAATCTGTAAGACCTGTTCATTTGCAGTACTCACAAAAAGATCTCATCCCCCTATAATGTTAAACATTTCCAGAGTAGGGCTCTGTAGGATTCAAAGCCAACCCAGGCCTCAGAGTGCATTTGGACCCACAAGTAGCATCTGTGAGGAACATCTTAAAGCAGCAGTGATCTTTCCTAGGCTCATGTGACTGTCCTCTGCAACTGTGGAATGATCCTGAGAAAGATGAATCTAGTTTGAGATGATCCTGAACGTATTACGGGCGCATCCATGCATTTTGCCTTTGAATCCACACTGCTGCACAGCCCTATTCCAGAGACTTTAGGCCATTCAGCATATGAGAGTATTTTTTCTATGACACACAGAAAAACCAACAGGACAAACACATACTACAAAGACAGCCAACCTAATACCCTCCCATTCTCTCTAGTCAGAACAAATTCAGTACAATAAGCACTTCTTTCTCAAGTTTTTTTGAAGTTATCCTGATAACCTCACTAACATAAAGAATTCATTCATAAACTTCAGACTATTATACTCCCAAGTTATGTGGCCTTTTGCAGTTAATATTGCTCTACGTGTCTGCACGTAATTACAGCCCCTCCTTGCCTTCAACAGAAGCTAGTTCTTTGGGAAAGTAACAGGAAAGTTCATTGAAAGGACCCAAACAAAAAGTATGTAATTATTCATTTTGGAAATAGATTTTAATTGGGCACTAATCTGGTTTGTTGAGGTATAATACTGTTACTGCTGCTGCACAAACCTTGTGCGTGTGTGTGTGTGTGTGTGCACGTTTAAATGAAAACGAAACAATTATTCAGTGCAAGGAACCAATTTCAGCTGCAACTTAGCTCTTTTTGTTTAGAGACTTGCTAAATTCTAATACTGCATTGGAAATCTGGAAATTTGAAAACTGCGTGAAAATGACAGAAGAGAGTTTCTTAGAGAGCCGGTTTTGTGAGGTCCTTCTCCATTGCAGCATATTGTTCTTTAAGACGCTCCATAGCTTTTGTGTGCTCTTCATTCACCATTGCTTTTAGATGGCACTGCTCCTTTGCGAATTCGTCCCAGAGAGCCATACGTTGGGCTTCGCCAGCAGTTAGTTTCTCAGTCTGAAGCTGAGAAGAAAAAGCAGGTTATAAATCTTGAATCTAGACAATGAAGAGAGTTTACTGTACCTTGCAGCAAGGGTGTCCGTGGGAGGGGAGTTTAAAAAAAGTTTTTTTTCCCCTTTATTCTTTGAGAATATGTAGCTCATAAAAACAAACAAATAAATAAACTCACAAAAAGAAAGGAAAAAGAGATCAATCAGTCAAACTCTTATTATGGCCTTTGGGCCAGAAAGCACAACAATAAAACACACATAACTGTATTACTGTAAAACTTTTAAAAAATGCAATAAAATTACATAAAATACATTATTATAGTAACCGTAGTACAAATAGCAATGGCAATCACCAAAATTTGTGCTAAACTTCAACAATAGGTAGGGTGGATACAACAAATGTTAGCACACAATGGGGCAACCTGGAAAAATGATGTCAGGTTCCTAGTCAGGTAGAAGCAGTGAGAGATTCACATTGTGCTCTCTATCAGGGTAGTTCTTTAAAATGGGATAAATATATATCTTCCTTGATTCCCTATAGAGAGAGCAACAAAGGAGCACATGGCTTAGGGATTCCACAGAGCCATCTCCACATGGACATAAGCACTGCTGAAAAGGGATGTTTTTATACTGTTCCCAGAGAACTGCAGAGGGTAGTGCATCCAACCTGGCCAAAGCAAAGGTCCGACAAAATTTCAGAATTAGAATTGAGGAGAGAGATGATGATGATGGCACACGCCCATTTGAGAAGAAACAAAACAGCGGTCTGTGAAATGTTTCCTTATCTACATGTTCACTCATTATACTTGTTTGGATAGATGGCTGTCCTATCTTTTACTGTTTGAAATTATATTTTCAAGTACCTATTCATGAGAGTTTGATGGGATCCATAGCGTGCTTGTCAGCCTGACCTCAGCAGACAGGTGGAAACATGGAGACAAGCAGTCCCTAAAGTAGCCAGGCCTTATGTCAAGAAGGGCTTTATAGGTGATAACCAGGACCTTGATTGCACCTGGAAGCCAACTGGTAACCAGTGCAGCTCAGGAAGCAGTGGAGACATGTGAACATACTATGATACACTCATCACTATCCATGCCGCCGCATTCTAGGCCAGCTGCAGCTTCCAGGTGGTCTTCAAGGGCAGCCCCACGTAGAGCACATTACAGAAATCCAAGCGTGAGGTGACCAAGGCATGAGTAAAACTGTCTGATAGTCTAACAGTAGGCTAAAAGGAGATAAAATTGTCTTAGACTCTTTACATAAAGGAAAACAGCTGAGAGCAATCAATGGACAGGTTGCATGGAATACTATCTTTCTCAAGGTAGTTCTCAAAGCATTAGAAGACTACTCTGGATGGATACTCGCCATAGGACTGTCTGACACTCTTTTAATCTACAGAATGTGTCCTGCAGCAAAGGAGGCTGGGGACCATGCCCCACGGCTTTCTGAGTGAGTATCACAGAGAAGACCAAGGTCTCCCAATGCATTCTAGTTTTCAGCATTGGTTAAAAAAGCAAACCAGCCTTTCCCAGGACATCTGCTCTTTTCTCAAATATATGGAGATAATTTATTTTAATGTTCACCTGTTGATGTACAAGAGAGCTGGAAGGTATCAGGCTGAACAAGGCTGTGTCATATTTAGCTTCAAAATCAGAAGAGGGAAAATATATGGACTGGGGGAGGAGGGATGTGCGAACCTGCAGTACGCCCTCTCTCTTAGCAATTAGGAATGTGATATTCACACTCCATCTGACAGCATTTTGCCCTTACCAATTACAGCCTTATAGAAATAAAACAAATATGAAATGTTGCTTCAGTCTGCTTACAGTGCTCCTCTATTAGGGCTGAAAAAGTTAAATGGGCTGCCTGCTCATAATAAGTGAAGTATAGAAGAAAAATATAGAATTAACTTCTTGCACAGTTTTTCCTAATGCTGAGGTTTTAGAATATATGTATTACAAACTAGCAGTGTGCAGCCATGTAAGAGATTCCAGCAAGTCGCATGTTCTTATAATATGGCCTTTCACGAAATAAGATCCACAGGTATGAAATGCTTCCATTTCAGAAAGCTGTACTCATAATATGTTCAGTGTTTTCGACTGACCGGGAAAGATTTACATTTCCATTCTGTTGGGTATTTTTTGTTCCATGCAAAACAGGGATTTCCCTTTTCTCTGGCTGTGAACGAAATTCTTAGAAAAACTTTCCACCCATACAGAAGCTGAGAAGATCTAGTAACTTTGTTGTTTTTATAGCAACTCTGAAAGACTAATTAAAACGGCAGGTTTACCTAAGTCTGTCTTACATTTGGTGTAGTTTTTCCAGAAGAAGGTATGCTTTTCACCTTCCTGAAGACTTTTTAATAACATATAGATTTGTTTCAGAGCAATTGGTGAATCTCAGGATTATTTAATTCACATTCTTACACGCAGTTTTAATCTGATGGGAATTAAATCTTCATTTTGCCAGTGAAACATGTAAATCTTTCGACTGATATCTTCCTAAGTAGCTCTGTCGAAAGCCAAAGCAGGTTAAGAAGTTACCAGATCACAGATTGCTTCAGTGTAAAGCTTAACAGTGTGCATCTGGACAGAAGCTGGACATCAGCTGAAAGGCACAAAGCCTTTGCACATTCAGCATAGCCTGAAGCATCTTTGACTGGTTTAGTGTTTAAATGACATGGTGGGCAATCTAAAGATATAACAGCAGATATTTAAGAAACAAAAACACTCAGTCACATTTACAAGAAAATATCAACCAAGAAGAAAGAGCAACAGGCACAAGATAAATCCAGAGAGTCTTTGGTGTGAAGTAAAAATATATTAAAATGGTAATCTGGATTGGGCAACTAGTTGTGAGCATAAAACAACTCAGTGCTCATTCAATTAGCACTGCTGAAATTTTAAGATAAAATGGAGAATTGTCATTCGCACAATTATTAGTGGAATATTACAGGTGGTACTCACTTAATGACCACTCATTCAGTGACTCTTCGAACTTACAACAGTGCTGAACGAGTGGTAGTTACAACTGTTCCTTTTACTTATGGCCAGTGCAGTGTCCCCTTGGACATGTGATCGTGATTTGTGACCATTCCTGCCAGCTTCTGACAAGCAAAGTCAATGAGGAAGCCAGCAGGAAGTCGCAAGTTGCGGTCATGTGAGGTCCTTGCTTAATGATGGCAACTAGTACTGCTGGAACTGCTGTCACTAAGCAGTGCAGTCACGTGGTTTTTTTATTTACAACTGTGTCGCTTAACAACAGAGTTTCTGGTCCCAATTAGCATTATTAAGCGAGGACTACCTATACTCACAATGGAGCAAAGTCAATGAGGAAGCCAGCAGGAAGTCGCAAGTTGCGGTCATGTGAGGTCCTTGCTTAATGATGGCAACTAGTACTGCTGGAACTGCTGTCACTAAGCAGTGCAGTCACGTGGTTTTTTTATTTACAACTGTGTCGCTTAACAACAGAGTTTCTGGTCCCAATTAGCATTATTAAGCGAGGACTACCTATACTCACAATGGTAAACTTAATATACCCATTTATAAATGCTGAACTAGTGTAATGGGAAGAAGGAATAACCTTGAGGAACAGGAGGAAGAACTACAACCAAGACAACAGTGAGATAAAAGAAATCTGAATCTGGAGCAGAAATGTAGTTTGAGAAAGTGTCTCGGATAGGACCCTTCCTGGTTCTCACAAAGATAAAGGGGGTGGGAGTGGGGGAAGCACATTCAGATTTGCAAGATTCTGTTACTGTGACCTTATAATAAAAATAGTATTAGCATTCATGACTTTGGTTTCCTAGTCTGGTCTACCTTGAAGGGCTGTCAACTAGTCTCCCCTCACAACATTGGACAAATCCCTTGTGGCTGAAATAATCCATTTAAAGCTCTTAGTGCCTCCTGCCACCAAGTTGCCTACCTTATAAGCTAGACTTTGCTAGTTTATGAATGTAAAATATTAGTATTTACCTGTCTTTCTTCCTGTTCTCTCTGCTGGAATGCGTTGAACGTCTGGTTGGCTACCTGCACTGAAATAAAGTTTACAGTTGTAAAACTCATCATTCTTATTTTTAATGGACCTCTTTTTCATGTGACAAACTACACTGGCTTTGCTCACACAACACTAAATCAAAATGTGCCATATACTCATTAGGTCTTTCTAATATAAGAAAAACAGATCTCTGTGATGTCTTAAGCATGGTTTAACTGTCCCACAATGACATTTCTAAACTCTTCAGAAAGTGGTGTATAATAATACAGCCCAAGTAGAAGGTGGTAGCTACTTTATGTTAAAAATAATCCCTAACATTAATTGAACCTGATTAGATATTTTCACTCTATGAAAGGAAAAACAGGAAAATATGAATACGCATTATCTGGAAGCAGCACACATCTATGATCTTATTTTTAAATTGAGAAATAATAGAGTGAAGGTAGCACAACACCTTTAAAAGCAGAAGTACCACCATGAATCAGAGCAAAATCCTACCTTAATCAAACATCCTCATTCAAGAGAGCCAGTCGGATGTCAGTCAGAAACTGCACTCTCTCAATCGTGTACTCCAGAAACTGCCATTGACAGGCAATTTGCCTTTGTGTTTGAAACAAAACAAAGGTACCTGGCTAACCTGATCTGAACTTGGTAACTAAGCTGGCAAGGCCTTATTAGTCCTTAGATAGGAGGCCACCAAGGAATTCCAGGGCTGCAGGCTAGACCAGGAAGTTGAAAAACATAAAAAAAAAAAAAAAAAAAAGGACAAGCCACATATAACTTATGGCCAAGAAAATTACATGGATATGTCATAAAGATAAAGAGAGTCAAGCTTGACCCAAAGGAGACCATGCTTTTTACAGCTGTCCTTAATTGATAGCTACTGATTGGTTTCAACACCTGGTGGAAAAAAGTCACAGCCCACCATTTGCCAAATAAAATTTATCATCATGGGAAAACAAATAGCAGCTAATCTTAGATGGCAGACTTGGGACAGATATATAACAAACAGATGTCATGAGATCAGATTCTCTGTTTTCTAGGCAAATTTAACTTATTTAAAGACAACAATCACAGTAACAGAAGGAAGAACATAACAAGCAGGGAAGAGATTAGCCAACATCTTCTGATTGAACTTTTCAGTAGTTACTACACTGATGTTTTCCCTTGTGCCTGTAATACTACTGCATACATGTACAGACAAAAGAAAGGTAATTGTTCTACAGCAGTTCTGCATCCACTAAGGAGGGAGCAGGTCCCCAACCTGGGGTCTTCCAGGCGGAGGTCATGACTTGGAGGGTCTTTGTCTTTTGAAACAGTTGTGGCCTTATTGAGAACATGAGGATCTTGCTACAGTAACACATGATGTAATCAATACAATACACGGGACTGCCTCTGAAGACTACTCAGAAATTGCAACTAATGCAGAATGCAATGGCACTAGCTCTAAAAAACATGTAACATCTCTATTTTGGGCCCTGCAAAGTGCTGTTTTTGATTATAAAGCCCTGTATGGCTTTGCTAGGTATTTACAAGACTACCTCTCCCTACTATGTTGACCTGTATAGTATGTTCTTCCTGGAAAAGGCTATTAATTGTTTCCCAGTTTTGTGAAGTGAGGGAAACTAAGGCTGGGAGGCATTATTTTTCAGTTGAAGCCCTTGCCTTATGGAATGGGCGTCCCCCAGAAATTAGATCTGCTTCCTCCTTAATGGCATTTCAGAAGATTCTAAAAAGAGAACTTTTTCATTCTTTTTCTTGCAGATCTTGGACAAACATTTTATGTTTAAATCGTAGCTATTGTATCTAGGATGAATTTCTTTTATCTTTACTATGATTTATATTAGATTATAGCTCCATCAGAATTGGATTTGCTATTACTTTAGCTGAGTTTTTAATGATGCTTTAATTTCTGCTATTTTGTTATGCATTATAAGGCTTTTATTAGTGTAAACAGGAGTCTCTGCTTGATTTGGTGGATTATAAATGTGACAACTGAATAAATGTCAAACAGTTCACTGAAACATGAGGCCTATTATTGGACAGATCTGATCTCAGTACATAGGACAGAAATATGCCAATTTTGTGATAGTTTTATAGCGGCCAAATTATACTGTTAGCACTCAGGCCCAACTTAAGGGAGTTCCAAAATCCATCAGGAAGCTGTGTTGCCTGCGGGCAGTTCTCATGATGCCAAAGTGGTTGTATACCAGATGCAGTTTATATGCCTCCCTCTCCCATCATTTTTCCAAATGGAAAGAAAGTCCATTTATTTTTCTTTTAATTGGAATGCTACCAGCAAGCTCTTGCTGCAATTCTGCACAGAGATGGTCTGCGTTCCCACCGCAGGCCTTGCCCCACTTCATGGCTCCTAAACTCAGGTCAGTCATTACACAACAAGTCAACAAAGCTGGCTATGGAAGTACATTTTTCCAATTTTAAAAGGGCGAGTGAGCTCATTGGTGTTTTGAGAACCTACACATTTTGACAGTATTCTTTAAATGCAAAAGTCATTGAAGAAAATAAACTCCAGCTTACACCTCCTTAATACTTCATTCAGATTTCCATGCATTACTTCTTCACACTTTGGCAAAATCTTGTCATTTGCCTCAAAGGTCGTGTTCTTTAATTTTTCAAGAACCCGCATTTCTCGGAGACCCCTTTTTTCCTGTTGGAAAAAATAAAAAAGGATAATTCTAAATATTTTATTTAAAAAGCTGACATTTAATTAATACCCAATCCAATTTCACTTAAAAAGAACTCGATTAACTAGTTGCCCTTATCAGGAAGTAAAATTCATTGAACTCAGTGAGACGTACAACTAATCAGACATGCATACATTTTCACTGTTAAATGACTATAATATCTAGATTTTTAATCCTTAGACTCCAGTTGATGACATAACTACTTGGGAATAACTCAGCTCTACTCAGTGGGACTTATTACTGATTAAATATGCTTGTACAGTAACTGCACAATTAATGTTTCCAAACATTGTATGTTAATACATCCCTGCTTTTCTTCATTTAAACATCCCATGTTTAAATAGTAAGCGTTTTTACAATTAGTTTTGATTTTGTTCATTTTATCATCCAGTCTTGAAAGAAAATCAGCCTGAGACATAAAACGACTAAAATAACATACAGTACATGTCTTTTTATTCTTATTAAAGTTTTGCTGCCATCTTGTGGCAATTATATTCAATATTATGCTTGCATAAAAGGACATTTATTTAACATTTAAAAGTACTTTTCTGCATATTTATTTCACATCCTTTCTTTAAAAAATGAAAAGCCAGTCTCTCCCATAATATCATTTATATAAATTGTTTGTGCAACCATGCTTTATAGTTCAAAACCACCTTCTTCCACATTGCCATCATACTTCATTTTGAAATAACTAATATCGAACCTACTTCAAATTCTTTGATGAAATAACGAACTTCTCCTTGAATAACTGGTCTGTGATCCAAAAGTCGGGAATATATTTCGCCAACATCTATAAGAAAAATAATGAATTATAACCTATTTATATATTACTAGGGATACATAAAAATCTGGGTAGGTCAACAGGTTTTCTTTTTTTCTTCCTTTTGTAATCCACTTCCACTTTTCTCTTTTACCTCTTTCTCCCTTCCAGTCCTCAGCAGCTACAGGGAGGGAAATTCCTTCCAAATAGTAGCAGAAAGTTTTCTCTGTTGCTTTATAGAAGAATCAGTATCCAAGTCTGTGCTGCCATTACAAAGCCATTCTAATTTCATAAAGTTTAGGAAATGTAAAGTTAAGCTCCTTCTGCCTACCAACGTTGCATGCAATACAATGACATACAAATACAATTGTTAAAGGAAATACACAGAATTAGATCTATAGATTGAACATTTTAAAGAATAACTTTGTCAAAGAGCTTTTCTTGCTAGTATATTGAGAGCAGATACTGGTTCTATATATGAAACCCACACATTTCATTGTACTACTTGGGTTGAAGGATAAAACAAGTAAATAGAACATTTTAAAAATAAAAGAAATAATGCTAATTCTACTGTTATTAGTCAGTTGTTTTGATGCCTCCAAAATGGGGGTGGGGAGGTGGGTTTAATACTGTGAGGTGTTCAACCAGCTGATCAAGATGCCATCTTTTGCTCTCTGAACTAGCCACTGGAACTACATCCTCTTTTGCTTTCTGCGTGCCTGAGCCCAAGTGGGAAGGATAAAGCAGAGACAGAAGATGTTACCTAGCCAGGTAATGAAACGTTTGCAAGAAAAGAAGCAAGCTCAGAGAACCCAAGGACTCCACAGAGACAGAACTATTCCATCCTCAGAGATAGCAGTTTTTAGACTGATCTTAATGGTCTTCTGGAAGGTTCCCATTTTAGATAACAGAATGCCTTAGAGGTGTGCAATGCTTTGGATTTAAAGGCAAAAAGATGCCTTGGACCGTGCAAGAGCTGTTCATTCTTGGCAGGTTTGATTCATTGATTGACTGATTATGTGCCATCGTGATTTTTGGCTTGTAGCGACCACACAGATAGATTTTCTTCATGATGACCTATCCCTAACCTGCTCTTTCAAGTCTCCCAATGGTGTACTCATCACCACTGTAACTGAGCTTGGCAGGGTCCAAATCACAAAATAACATCAGAAATAAAAGTTCTAACAAGAATAGACAGAAACAGCAAGAAAGAAGCATGCATTCAGACAATAAAAGCCTTCTTGAACCATTCTTCCATAATCTGCCCAAGCCAACTCTAACCAAGTTCAACTGAGTCAGCCTAGCCCATGTCAGATTCCAGTGGCCACTCCAGTCTCTTAGCTAGGACACAGGTGACACCATCATCATCATCGACATCCGTTCTACTTCCTTTCAGAATCCATTGGTGCTTTATTCATAAAGGGATGGAAATAGCTTGCATTAATTTCCTCCAAATGCCATTGCTGATTGTTGCCTATGGACCTTCGCTTCTCCTTCCTTCCAATATGACTCACTTATTGGGCAATAAGTCGCAAGGAAGGCGGAGAACACCACACAGCACTACCTTGCACGCTCAGCTTCCAGCGAAAACTACTCCCTCGCTACTCTCTGGACACTCTGTAACGTGTTTACAGTTACCGTATCAGCGAGCAAGAGAATGAAAACTTAACGGAGGAAAGCCCAAGGAAGGACTGGCGCTTCCTACCTTTAAAAATAGGGCAGGAGGATGCGGACCCCAGTGAATCGCTCCTTTTATTACCGCTTCCAGAAGCAGGCGACTCCGCAATTTTACTGCCGCTTACGGTCCCGGGAGCCCCACTACTCATTTCACTCAGACTCCCCAGCAGGACTGCAGCTGGGGGTGCTTTGGAGTGCCTCCCTGCGAAGGCGCATGCGCAACTGTCATAAGACTATCTGAACGGGGCAAGATGTGAGTACTGCGCATGAGCAGGGAGGCTTTCACTTTGTGAAGCAGTTCCCGAAACAACCGACGGGGAGAGACCGTTCTCTATGACGTCAACAATTGAAGTCTCATTGAAGGATTCTTGGAGCTCGTTTACTTAGAGTCAACGTCAAAGGGTAGAGACCGGCAGCCAAGAGGAAAGGCATTTGCTCAGCATGCATTGGGAGTACGAAGTGGCCAGCAAGCTCCGTCTCCATCTTTTTGAAGAACTCTAGAGAGATCTAGATCTACAGGTCGATGGTGGAGACTATTTCCATCTATTTAAAAAGAGCTGGCTTTCTAACTGCAGTTTCAGTATAGCGCGCAACAAATATTGCACCAGGAGCAACACGCTTTAAACGAAGCAAATCAGCTGCACTCCAGCAAGATAGTATTTCATGCTTTTTACGACGTTGATGTCATGCTCAGTCCTGCAGGATTAAGGGCAGAGAAGCTCGCCTGTTACCTGGTTTAACCTACAAGCAAATCTGAGTATTTGTGAAATCTTACCGATGTTTGTGAGAAACCTTCCTGAAGCTTGCTAACTCTTTCCCGGTTGAGAGATCTCAGAAGATACTCACAGAATCATAGCATGTAAGGGTCAAACGATCTTCGAGATCATCTAGTCCGGTGTTTCTCAACCTTGGCAGCTTTCAGATGGGTGGACTTCAACTCCCCCCATTTCCCCGCCCACCCTTGCTGGGTGGGGGGTTTGTGGGGTTGTAGTCAACCCAATCTAAACACACCAGGGGTGGGACAACAGGGG